GAATCGAATCGAATCGAATCGAGTCGGAGGAATCGAAATGAGCCCTCGAGGTGTCTGCGAGCGGGTTGGGCGTGACGCGCCTAGGTCAGGCTTCCTGGTTTGCTTCTGCAGACCTTTCCATTGGCCTTTTCGTCCTACATCGCCGCATCCAGCCTACCCTGCCAAAACATGTTCAGGCACGTGTTATGTTGATGCAGCGGTTTTGGCCACGTGGGATGGGGGTGATTCAGGTCCTTGGTCTGGATGGGACTCGTCTTTCTCCACAGGGCCCCAGCAGACGACCTCAGCGCAGCTTGGGGCACAGATCATGGGCTCCCCTGCGCCTGTGCTGAAACGCGGCCACTCGGGGGCTGCTCCGCTGGCCGCGGCAGGCGGAACAGTGCCCCGTGCCGATGCGGGTGCCCCACGGAAACGAGACTCAGACTGATTGCGCAATATTTCAGAGAAACATCACTGCCCATGGTCGACATAAATTGGCAACTCTTGGCCGCTGTCTTGTTCATCCCTGAGCCACGTCTACATCGCAGAGCGGGGGCGGGCGGCTGGGAAAGGGCATGCTGGTCCTTGACAGAGGCCCTGCCCCGATGTGCGGCCGCCGCGATCGCCGCGGCCGCCCGAGTTTGGGCCTGGCGTCGGATGTCAAGCAATGACCGACCGCCGACGAGCCGACTCTCCCCGCCTCGACGCGGCACTGGCGAAAGACTCGCTCCACTGCCGCGCGCTCCGCCCTGGCCCCCGCGCTCGCGACGACGACGCGGCAGCGCTGCTCCAGCTCGGGCGCCTGCCACGCCACCGCGCGCACCCCCAGGGAGGCTGGAAGGAAGAGCTCCTGCACAAGGGGGGCGAGGACGAGGGCGAGAAAGGGCAGAGGACTCGTCGGCACTCGGCGAGACGCCGCCCGTCCCCTGGACGACTTCCGCCTCCACGCGCCCAGCACCGAGCACAGGGGCTCCGCCCGTGCGGCTCCAGAGCACGCTCTCGGAACTGTGTGTCGGGCTTCCTCTCCCGCGTGCCCGGTCCTCCATCGCCCAACGATCGATACTATTGGGCCGGGAGGCCCACGCCGCCCAGGAGCACGCGGATCCGCTCCCGGAGGAGGAGGGGGAGGAGGGGGAGGAGGAGGAGGAGGAGGAGGAGGAGGAGGAGGAGGAGGAGGAGGAGGAGGAGGAGAGGAGGAGGAGAAACAGGGGGAGGAGGAGGAGGAGGAGGAGGAGGAGGAGGAGGAGGAGAGGAGGAGGAGGAGGAGGAGAGCAGGAGGAGCAGGAGAAGGAGAAGGAGGAGGAGAAACAGGGAGAGGAGGAGGAGGAGGAGGCGGAGGAGGAGAAGAGGAGGAGGAGGAGGAGGAGGAGGAGGAGGAGGAGGGAGGGAGGAGGAGGAGGAGCAGGAGCAAGGAGAAACAGGGGGAGGAGAAGGAGGAGGGAGGAGGAGGAGGAGGAGGAGGAGGAGGAGGAGGAGGAGGAGGGAGGAGGAGGAGGAGGAGGAGGAGGGGGAGGAGGAGGAGGAGGAGGAGGGGAGGAGGAGGAGGAGGAGGAGGAGCAGGGGGAGGAGGAGGAGAAGGAGGAGGAGGAGGACGCCAAGACGCCCCACACCCCCAGAGGACGCGGCGGCGCCGCGGTGGGAGAGCGCATTACAGCGGCTTCTGGCTGCTGTGGTGACTGCGCGGTCCCACGGGGCGAGGCGAGCGCAGGCCGGCGCGTGGCACCACCCTGCTCCCTCCTCCCTCCTCCCTCCTCCTCCTCCTCCTCCTCCTCCTCCTCCTCCTCCTCCTCCTCCTGAGCGGAGGGTCGCGGGAGGGTCGTAAAGAGGAGGGCGAGGAGACTGACGCCGCGAACGCTCGCTCCAGCGGCTTGCCCAAAGGAGAGAGGAGGAGCAAGGAGGGGGAAGAGGGGGAGGAGGAAGTGGAAGAGGAGGACCAGGATCAGGAGGAGGGAGGAGAGGATCGGGAAGAGGGCGAAGGAGATCGGGAAGAGAGAGAAGGATAACATCATGGCTAGGCTTGTACTTGGGTGATGAGGGCAGAGATGGGCTTTCCAATCAAGTTAGGGCTTGGGTTCGGGCGGGGATCAGGCTCGAAGTTCGAGGTCGGAAACCAAAGAAAACAAAAGTTCGAAACAAGTTCAAAAGATCAGGGGGAGATCGGAAACAGTTCAAATGGTTCAACAGAGTTTGGAACAGGCTCGAAAACAGTTTGAAACCATTTCGAACAAAGTTTCAAAATTCGGAAGAAGTGTGTAAACATGCGTTCAAGATTCGGAAACAATTCGAAACCAATTCGGGAATTAACGGAACATTAACGAACAATTCCACACGCGCTCTGGATGGTTTGAACTTCTTCCCTGCAAACGCTATCCGTACTTTTCCGAACGTCTGGCTTCTAGAAACTTTGAAGTTGAACGTTGTAGAAGCAGTTGCCTCGAACTGGTTCTGGATGTTGATCTTGTTTGACACGGGGCCCGTTTGCGCCCCCTCGGCCAATGACAAACTGGGGACGGAGGAGGAACAGAAAGGAGGAGGAGGAGGAGAACATGGGAAGGCAATGGTGGCATGAGGCGATCGGCTCAGGATGCGTTTCAGGACTTCTCTGGAGTAGATTTACGTTGTTCCCATCCTACGTAAGGACCACATCCCAGAAATAACTTCGAGCACCCGGAAAAGTGTCAAACGAGTGTCAAAACAGTGCCGAAACAGTGTCGGGCAAATGTCTCCCAGGGCCCGGCACGTGAAAACCCTTGAGTTTCTGTACTTTTCTGGGCGCTCGAAAGTCTCCCTGGTGATCAAGGCCAAAGTAGGTTGGAGCATCATAAGAGTAGGTGCGTTTCAGGACTTCTCCAGAGTAGATGGCGCCCCTCCTCTCTGGACCCAGCGGCACGGGACAGCAACAGGAAGACCCGAGCATGCTGCGGCGCAGAGGGATCGCTGTGGCCTCCTGCTCCGCTCTGGGAAGGAGCCGCCCGGGCCCGCGCACTCGGAGTCTGCGCAGAGGCTCGCGCTCGCGCCACGGAGCTCTGCTTCCTCTGGGCCTCCTCCTCCTCCTCCTCCTCTTTCGCTTCCACTTTTTCCTCCTCCTCCTCCTCCTCCTACTCCTCCTCTTTCGCTTCCACATGTTACTCCTCCTCCTCCTCCTCCTCCTCCTCCTCCTCCTCCTCCTCTGCCTCCTCCTCCTCCACCTCCTTCTCCTCCTCCTCGCCCTCCTCTCTTCTTCCTCTCCTCTCCTCCTCCTCCTCCTTCTGTTCCTCCTCCTCCTCCTCCTCCTCCTCCTGCTACTCCTCCTCCTCCTCCACCTCCGCCTCCGCCTCCTCCTCCTCCTCCTCCTCCTCGTCCTCGTCCTCCCCCCTCCACCGCCCGCCCCATGTCCCGAGGGGGTCATCAGCTAGTCGTTGTCGCTGTCGTCGTGGTCGTCGTCGTGGTCGTCGTCGTCGTCCTTCTGGGTCGGCGGCACCGGCCGTAAGGCCTTCACAATCTTTGCTGTGCTGGGCCACTGCCAAAGAAACACGGCACCGATTGTCATGGCTGCCCAATTCCCCCTGGTCAAAAGCAGCATGAAGATCGACCGCAAGCTTGGCCGACACACCGACAACACTGAGTTGTTACAATCACGCAGATACCACGACAAAGTCACAGTCACCCCCTCTCGGTCTCGCCCTCGTGGGCACACACTTCAGAAACACAGCACCGACGAACCACATATATTCACAACGCTGGGCCACGCCGGCGCAGGTCCGTGTCGGTGAGCACTGAGCCTGCAACGGAGGCTGGCGAAACTCAGCACAGCTTTGACAGTCTAGCAGAAATCGCTCGGGTCAAAACTGACCACTGCTGAGCGATGCCGTAGGCATGAAGCTCTGCAGCTTGGGGAGTCTGGGGGGCGGGGGCCCACACGGGCCCCCCAGACTCTGACGACCTCGAGAACTGTAACTCCGTCCCCTGCAGAAGCAGCCCAGCCAACACGGCTGAGCTCGGACACGCCTCGCCGAGGAGATGCACCGTCTCTGGAATGCCAGAGGACAGAAAATGACGACAGCTGCAGGATTCCGATGACCCGCTCTGACCTGCTCGCGGATTGATAACATGAGCTGCGGGCCCCATAGGGAGGGGGCTCCCGCCTCAGACTTCCCCACAACTCACTCACAGACGAGGCTCCCCCCTAAGACGTCCCCCATATTCAAGCTGGCAGAGGCCGAAAAAGACGACCGTTACAGGATTCCGATGACCCGCTCGGATTGATAACATGAGCTGCGGGCCCCATAGGGAGGGGGCTCCCGCCTCAGACTTCCCCACAACTCACTCACAGACGAGGCTCCCCCCTAAGACGTCCTCCATATTCAAGCTGGCAGAGGCCGAAAAAGACGACAGTTACAGTGAGAGGTCCCAGCAAATCACTCACAGACGTGGCTGCCGCCCCAGACTTCCCCCCAGATTCGGGCCTCAGGAGCCCAAAAAGCGACGACGGCTACAGGATTCCGATGGCCCGCTCGGATTGGTAACATGAGCTGCGGGCCTCATCAGGAGGGATTTCCCGCCTGAGACTTCCTCCCAACTCACTCACAGACGAGGCTCCCGCCTGAGACGTCCTCCATACTCAAGCTGGCAAAGGCCGAAACAAACGACAAATACAGGATTCCGATGACCCGCTCGGGTTAATAACATGAGCTGCGGGCCCCATAGGGAGGGGGCTCCCGCCTGAGACTTCCTCGCAAATTACTCACCGACGAGGCTCCCGCCTGATACTTCCCTCATTTTCAGGCCTCAGGTGCCGACACGTGACGACAATTACATGATTATGATGACCCGCTCGGAGTAGTAACATGAGCTGCGGGCCCCATAGGGAGGGGGCTCCCGCCTGAGACTGCCTCGCAATGTACTCACAGACGAGGCTCCCGCCTGGTACTTCCTCAAGCGTGGGTGTGAGTGAGTGAGCGAATGATTGAGTGTATGAGCGAATGAGTGATGATGATGCTGATGATGATGATGGTGATGATGACGATGATGATGATGGTGGTGGTGGTGATGATGGTGAATGTGTGAGTGTGTGAGTGAGTGAGTGAGTGAGCGGGTGGGTAGGTGGGTGGGTGAGTGGGTGAGCGAGCGATGATGATGAGTGTGTTAGTGAGCGTGTGAGCGATGACGACGATGGTGATGAAAGTGTGTGAGTGGGTGAGCGAGTGGGTGGGTGAGTGACTGATGGAGCGATCGTGTGTGGTGAGCATGTGAATGGTGATGAAGACGACGACGACGACGACGACGACGATGATGATGATGATGATGATGATGATGATGATGATGATGCTGTTGATGATGATGATGATGATGATTATGATTATGATTATGATGATGATGATGATGATGATGATGATGATGATGATGATGATGATGATGATGATGATGGTGTGAATGATTGAGTGGGTGAGCGTGCACAGGGAGAAGAAGATGAAGGTGTCATGGTGCTGATGGTGCGTGAGTGATTGAGTGAGTGCGCGAAGGGAGAAGAGGAGAGGTGAGGTGGGAGGACTGCGCGGGGTGTCCAGAGACAACAAGAACCCCAACTTAAGATATGGGGAACAAAAGACGGCATACTCCACGAGATCCTCTTACAGGGTTCCCTCAGAGCAGCAACAGGATGGTCGATACCCCCGAACAGTCCAAGCCTCCCTTAACTCGGTGAGGGGGATGGGGTGGGGTTAGAGATGCAGATGGGAAGTCCAAGCCTCCTTCGCCGACCTGACAGACGGCACCACAGCACCTAGCCAGCACCGCTCCTGGCGCGCCAAGAGCAAGCAAGTGAGGCTCCGCCCCTTGGCGGACGGTTTGAAGCTGCAGCAGCTCATCAGCGACCACTTGGGTGCTCGCCTCGAAAAAGTGTGGCGCCATGGACCCCGAAGCAAAACTCTCCGAGCAGCGCGGCCACCTATCCCTGAGATCCGACGTTGCAAAACAATTGCAACATCCCAAAAATCACTCCCGGAGACCTGGACCTCATCTTTCCGCGTCACTTTTCGAGCCCGATCGATCTGTGAGGGTCCCGGGGGCCCGAAATCAAGCGAAAACGCCCGTTGCAAAAAAAATGCAACGCCAGGATCTCAGGGATCGTGGGCCGAATCAGCCCTGGCCACACGAGCCACAGCATCAAGGGAACGGCGAGCGCGATGCTTCGTCTTCGCGGAGCGCCCGTCTCTTCTCATTGCCTTCCCCGCAAGGCGGGCGACACCTCCGCTGCCAGCCGAACGGAAGGAAGGGCCATCCGAGTAGACCACCGAGCTTGCCGAGGAGGAGGAGGAGGAGGAGGAGGAAGAGGAGGAGGAGGAGGAGGAGGGCCAAGTGCAAGGCCGCGTTGGCCGCCGAGCGCCAGCAACGGAGAGACATCAGAGGTCGCCTGCCAGGGTCACTCGAAACCTGGGCCCCCTATCACGCCCTTCTCGAACGCACGTTGCAGGGCTCTGGCCGAGGGGAGGAGGAGGAGGAAAGGAGGAGGAGGAGGAAAGAAGGAGGAGGAGGAAGAGGAGGAGGATGAGGAGGAGGAAGAGGAGGAGGAGGAGGAGGAGGAGGAGGAAGAGGAGGAGGGAGAGGAGGAGGAAGAGGATGAGGAGGAGGAGGAGGAGGAGGAGGAGGAGGAGGGGGAAGGGAGGAGGGAGAGGAGGCAAGCTAGGCGCGCTAGCGTCATATCTGAAGTCAAACCCTCCCTCCCATCCCTTACCATGGCGTAGATCTCCTCTCTACTTGCACAATCGACTGTCGAGCAGGGCAATCATCCCGATGGGGTACGCGATGAGTGGCATAGCAAGGCATAGGATGGCGCAGAAGAGCACGGCAGAGCGTAGCATGTCATGGCATGGCGTGGCATTGCGTAGCGAAACTTTGCACCACAAAGCATTGCAACGCAAAGCATGGCATGGCGCAGCAGCACAAAACACAACACCGCACTGCATGTCATGGCATGGCACCAAATACCTTGAAGGGTAGATGGAGCGTCGTCGAAAGGTCCTGTCCGGTCTGGAGTCGCGGCTCCATGTCCAGCTCCCTGGGCTCCCCGGAAAGCTCCCCACGAGGTGGGACTGATGGAGAGCACCCGCTGGCTATGCGTCCAACATCGCCTCCTCAAAACAGAAAAGGGGCTCCCGCCTGATTGATAGATATTCCTTCTGCGGCCCAAAAACTAAACGAATCGACACCAGATGCGCAATCAAATCCGATGCTTTCTTCGCGGTAGCATTTTCTAAATTGGGATTACTTGGAAGGGCCATAAACGCCCGCGCTGAAGCGGGGACACGAGTTGGACCAACCAGAGGCGCAGAAATTGAGTCAGCGTTGCAGCGGGAGCAACTTTTTGAAGGGTCGAAAAGCTTTAAAAAATGTGAAAACACAAAATAAATTCCAACTCCAACCACTCTTGTGTAAACAAATACACGGAACTTCAGATTGTGACAAACACGCTATGACATGCCAACTCCCGACGGTCCTGTGTAAAAACAATACACGGAGGGGTGTCGGCTATCTTCTGGACGT